TTATATATATATATATATATATATGATACATACCAAATACATGAAGCAAATGAAATAATTTCTCTCAACCTAATCCCCCATTATTGACATATATAAATAAAACACAAATATTGTTTATTGACATTTCATCAAGATAGAGGGAGAGAATTGTGAAATGACATCATCTTCACAAAGCTTAATTGCTTCCTCTTCCCTAAGTGTCACCATGGCCACCCTGCTTAAGGGACCCTCCCCTTGTTTGCCAGGGAGAATCAAAACTTGCCCTTCTCCCAAAACAGGTTCCACATAATATGAAACATGAATGGGTTTGAACCAATCTTGAAACACAGCTAAATAAGGGTCCACACCCTCTAAGCTAGCACAAACCAAATCGTGACCGTTCATCATGGTAAGTGAACTTGTATCATTGTTTTCTAGCCACTCGATTAGATCCATGATTCCCTCACTATTCATCTTAGTCACAACATCACTTATGGCTTTAACAACTTGTGGAAATTTGTTACCTTCTACATGCACCTTATTATACACCATGCAATTTCCAAAGAATCCATAATCTAGGCCTAACACTTTTCTCATGTCCAAACATATGGACATGTCAACAAGCCCATTTCCCAATCCCTTGATTTTGCTCAAAGAGACCCAAAACAATGTTGTTAGTGCCTCAAATGGTGTTATTGGGCCATTGGGTTGGACCATGGACATGCAAGCCTGGACCATGTGGTCTGAGAAGCCCAGGGAAATGGTAGTGTACCTTACATCTTTCAAAGCAATGGGTTTCTCAATTAAGGATTTGTAGTGATGTATTAATTCCATGTGGGGGTGATGATTAGGGTTTCTATTTCTTGGTCTTGGAGGAGGTAAAGGGTGGAATAGTGGAGGAGTAATCATTTTGTTGCACAATGAAATGTCAGCCCAAGCTTTCATGAATGTGGTTGCACATGTGGAATCTGCCAAGAGATGAATGCAACTAAGACCAATTGCTAGTCCACCTTCTTCAAATTCAGTCAACTGAAATTAAGATTAAAATTCCAAATGAACTATTTTTATTATTATTAAAAATAACAATGACAATAATAAGATTAAAATCAACCAATTTGAAATGAAGAAGACTAATTTAGCTATTTATTTATTATTACAAACTCGTTCATTTTTTAATCTTTAATTTCTTACTATAGTCATGTAGCAATTATCTTTTTCAATGACACAAAAGAAAACATAATACACTCCCTAATACACTCAAGTTTTTTTTACTTGATATACTTTTTATAATTTAAAAAAAGTTAAAAAAAATAAAACTTATTAACGCCTATTTAAATAAATTTCTTCATATATATTTATTAAAAATAAAATAAATTAAACTTTTCTCATAAATTAAAATAAACTTATATACTTAAAAGTTATCTCATCCAATTTTGCTAAAAGTTGATAAGTTGATTTCAATTTATAAGAGGCGTTTAATTGAATTTACCTACTTATTTCATTTTTCTACAAGTATTTATGAATAAAAAAAAACACTTAAATTTTAAATGAAATTCATACTATTTAATGAGCAACAACAATCAGAGAACTGTTAAATAATATTAACTAAAATTCAAATATAAAATGTTATAAAGCAACGTATTAATGTCATTGGTTAAAATTTAAATTAAAAAAATAGTGAACCCTGGAAATAGACAAAAGTTACAGTGCAAGAGTTACTATATATAAATTTAGAATGCTTTTATCAATGACTAATTTGTACATCTAGTAATTTTCCGATAACTAACCTTATTTCACTAAGTCCCCACCCCACTAGGCACAATATTAAATGAAATCAAACATAAATTTTAAATAATAAAATACGTGATTAGCAATTTTTAAAAAAATAAAATTATTACATAATTCAGAACTAATACACATTTATAATTTTAACCAATCATTGTGTAACATACATAAAAAAAGAAAACTTAATTTAATAACATGTTATGTAAAAATTATGAACACCATAACCATATCTTATAATGTATCATTTAAAAACCCTAACCTGGACATAAAAGGTGGACCAATAGTAAGGCTTATGAAACATTTCCTCCCAATGCACAAGTTGGAGTTCCTTTTCCCTATCAAGGTTTGTTAGCCACCCTTCCACACTCCCCTTGGCTTTGGCCTCCACCATTCTAACCCCAGCATCATTGCACTTGATCTTCCAATGCCCTCTCTCATCATCTCTTACCAACCTTCCACTCACTATGGGAAAATGGGTGAGCATCTCTGACAAGCTCTCTCTCAACTTCTTGGTCACTCCTCCAACTTCAACTTCTCTTGATGTTTGGTAATAGTACACCATCCTTATGTGGTTCTTCTCCATGTGATGGTCCAAAACTGATAAGGGGAAGAACCTTCCTGGCTCCACTGCCTTGGTGCTCACCACGGTTCTTTTGCAAATATAACTTACTTCTGTTGCCATTTTCTATTAATGCTACTATATTATGGTAATGATGTTTATGTGGGTTTTATACATGTGTTGGTTTTAGGCACAGCATTATATTAGTGAAAATGAAATGAAAAGGTGCATGTAGTTAATCGTTTTCCTAGGGAAACAAAATTTTCATGTGTGCCATGAAAAGCAACACATCAATACATGAGGAAATGATATTTTCATGATCCATGAATGTTGGCATAATTGGGGTTTACAACATATGCGTGCAATTGGAAATATGATGTGTTGAATGTATGATTTTAAATAATTGTATCACTACAATAAATACTTTCATATTCCTTTCATTTTATATAGAGATTAAAAAGAATAATAAATATATCACTTTTAATACAATTTTACTAAAATAATTTATTTTTTCAATAAATGCATTAATTTGAATCATGGTGGTTGAATAATTTATCAAGAGACAAATTAAAAAAAGTTAATTAATATTACATTAAAATGTGAAAATATTATTCATTTTAAGACATTTTTTAAATACTAAAACAATCATTGAGATATAGAGGGAATGCATAATTGTAAGTATTTATGAAGAGATACAGCCTTTAAAAGTTAGTGAGATTTATAGCTCATCAACATTTATTTATATCTATTATAAAAAGGATATTAGGATATATAATTATTTTTTATCTCCACTTTAGTGGGTTATTATACCCCTCAAATATAAAAGAAAAAAATCTTCATATATTTTTCTTTTTCTGAATAACTATCCGTAACCTTCTAATATTTGTCTATATATATAATTACTAGAGATACGAAGTGTTTCGACTCCTCTAGTAATAATAATTAGAATAAATTACACAAGTTCTACAAAATTGCACTAACATCCCTTATTTTTTTCTACCCCTATAATAATCTCCCTTAATTGTGTGAAAAATATTACACAAGAACTTCTTATACATTACCTTAATTTTCCTTACTTATTTGAAAAATTACATTGTGACCACTTATAAAGGAGACTATTGTAAATCTTAAAATAAACAAAGGATGTTAATACAATTTTATAAAACTTCAGTGTAAGTGTAATTTATTCTATTAATTATATTAAAAATTTTAGTTGATTGATACTTTTTATATTCACATTACATAGTTATTAAACTCTTGTAATTTTATTATAAAATTAAAATTATTTTTCTTGAAAATATGCCTTATTATATATGTTAATTATTTAAAATATATATAGAGAGAGAATGTCGATAAATTATTAAGGAATTAAAAGTGATTTTTTTAAGTGAAAGTATTAGTAATGCAATTTGATTATGCTTTCCAATTTATATCCATCATAGTTTTTAATGAAAGTTTTTTTTATTGATTGATTCATTAATCACAATTCTAAGAAACTAATTAATAAATTTTAAAAAAGTAAATATTAATTATTTGAATTTATTAAATGATAAATATTTTTTTTAAAATGTAGACCTTTTTTTTTTTACAATTATTTCTTTTAGTTAACATCTTATTTTATTTTATAATACGGCAGATAATTTTTCTTAAATTCTCCATATAGAATAATTTATTCTTAAATGATGACTATTTAATGCGTAATTTCCTTATAAATATGTTATTCTCACGTTGCATCAACCACTATACTATAATAAATGTATAATTTAGTTTTTACAATGGCATATATAGATATATTTTTAAAAGTTTAGTGTCAATTAAATATTTCTAAATAACTAAGCTTTTCATATCTAACACTATTTAAAAATTTTAAATACATTCAATTTTAGTAAAACCAAATAATAAGACTTTGATTGCATAACATGCATATAATCTTTCATTTAACCGAATATTTTTACTTTTGTCATGTAATTATTTCTTGTAAGATGATTATTAGTATTTTTTTTTTAACAAGTTTATATATTAGACATTAATATTGTATTTTCATTATCACAATAATGTTGTATGTTGTGGTATAGGAATTAAAATAATTGATAAAATATGTACATGAACTAACTTTATGTGATTTCATAATAGAATTTTCATTATCAAAGATTCGTGTATAAAATAATATTATTAATATATATATTAATTATAATAAAATATTAAATCCATTATTATATATATTAATTTATAAATGTTATATAATAAAAATATATAAAAATAGTGAAACTAAATTCACCCAAAAAGTGTATTATTAACAAGTTAGGATCATTGCTAGACGAATAATAATGTTATACCTTTTAATAATATTATTATCTCTTTGTATTAATTATTTTTTATTTCAAAAAATAATATTAAATAAGAATAATAATGTACTTAATATA